GCCCAAGCTGGCCTCAAATTAGTAGCAATCCTTGCAAGCATGCATAAATTCTTTAAACGTTTTAAATTATATTCTTTTTTTTGGTCTTTTCCAGACAGGGTCTCCCTGTGGCCCCAGCTGGCCATGTAAACCAGGCTGGCCTCGAACTCACAGAGATCTGCCTGCCTCTGCCTCCCAAGTGCTGGGATTAAAGGCATGCCCCACCAAGCCTGGCTCAAATTCTTTCTCTAAGTTTTTTAAATTATCCTTTTTATTTGTATGAATGTATTGTCTGCATGTGTGTAAATGCACCCGTGTCATGCACTGTCCAGGGAGGCTAGAACAGGGCATCAGATTCCCTGCAACTGGAGCTACAGACAATTGTTAGCCACCATGTGGTGCTGGGAATCAAACTGGGGTTCTCTCAAGAGAAGTTGGTACTCTTAACCACTGAGCCATTTCTCCAGCCTCTTAAATTCAAATTCTTTTTCTGTCTTTTTGAGACAGGGCCCTGTAGCTTCAGCTGTCCTGGAACTCACTATGTAGACCAGGCTGGCCTTGAACTAACAGAGATCCACCTGCCTCTGCCTCCTGAGTGCTGGGACTAAAGGCATGCGCCACCACACCTGGCTCAAATTTTTTTTTTTTTTTTTTTCAATATTTTATTATTATTTTTATTTTTATGATGATGATGTATATAAGTGTATTGCTTGCATGTATGTGAGTGCATCGTGTCGTGCAATGCCACAGAGGTCAGAAGAGGGCTTCAGATTCCCCTGGAACTGGAACTGGAGTTAAGAACGGTTTGTAGCCGCCATGTGGGTGCTGGGAATCAAACCCAGGTCCTCTGCAAGAGCAGTCAGTGCTCTTAACCGCTGAGCCCTCTCTCTAGCCCCATATTCAAATTCTTAAACTGAACAATGAATCACTCACACCTATAATCCCAGCAACCTTGAGGCAAAACCAGAAGAACCCCTGGAATGTAAGACCAGTCTATTATACACAGCTATACCATAAGGCAAAACAAAAGGTAAAGACATTTGAAAATCATCTTAGCAAAACAGATTTCATATAAATTAGTAAATATCATCTTCTGCAAATATCCCGATTTTGGGGGTTTATTCATTTATTTATTTTTTGAGACAAGGTCTCCCTGTAGCCCCAGCTGGCCTAGAACTCTCTCTCTCTCTCTCTCTCTCTCTCTCTCTCTCTCTCTCTCTCCCAGGCTGGTCTTGATTTAACAGAGATCTGCCTGCCTCTGCCTCTGCTTCCTGAGTAGGTTTTTGGATTTCTGAGGCAGGGTTTCATGTAGCCCAGGCTAGCCTCAAACTCACTATTTAGCAGAGAATAACCTTAAACTACTGATCCTCTTTCCCTCCACCTCCAAAATACTGGGATTACAGGTACGCACCACCACACCCAGCCTGGTTCCTTAAACTGAGACAATGAAGATTAATGCTGACCTCTGTGAAAAATTTATTACTGTAAACAGATAAATCTAAGTAGTAATAACTCTAAATGTATAATTAAAAATAATAATAATTGCTATAATTTGCATTTCTCTTGATCAACTCCTCAATGCTATTATTCATTTGTATAACTTTAAAAAGTTTTATTATTTTTATTTTATGTGTATGAGTTTATTGCCTGCATATGTACCTGCAAGTGTACCTGTGTTATGCAATACCCTTGGAGGTCAGAAGAGGGTGTCAGATTCCCCTGGAATTAGAGTTATGGACGGTTGTTAGCCACTATGTGGATGCTGGGAATCGAACCCAGGTCCTCTGAAAGAGCAGCCATTGCTCTTAACCACTAAGTCATCTCTCCAGCCCCTTGTATAATATTTTTAAGAAAAATGTCCTGTCTTAGTACTTACAGAGCCTATAACACTGTTTTTATTTCTAAAGCTATCATGTCTTTTTTTTTTTTTTTTTTGACAAGGTCTCACTATGCAGCCCTTGCTAGCCTTGAACTCACAAGTTCCACCTGCCTCTGCCTCCTGGGTGATAGGATTAAAAGCATGTGCTACCATGCCCGGCCAAATAGGGAGCAAATTTCTAAGTAGTGAAAATTTCTGACCTTGTCCCTATACAGAGGAAGGAATTATGCCTCTTGCCCCTACCTTTCTCCATCCTAACTTTGGGATTCATAGGATAAAAAGATATTACTAATAGAGTATGTAAAAGTATAAATAGTATAGAGACCAAAATAATAACAATGTAAAATGGGTTGAGACACATTCCTTTACCCTGTATTCTGGATTGTGGATCAGCAGCATCACATTTATTGCCCTGAGTAATATGTGGGGCAGGAAAAAAAAAAAATCAAAATTGGTGAATCTGAGAAACACATTTTTAATAATTAAATAACAAAGAATGTCATGAACACACATATCCCCACCCTCTAAATTTTTTTTTAATTTATTTAAACTGATTTAAAATTTGTGAAACACAAACCTTTATGGCAGAACTAGAAGTCTGTTCCCACCAGGCCCTCATACCTGATAGCAGCCAATCCAGCTCCTTCAAAACTCTGAAGAATTAACTATATCAAGAGTCATCATTTTTATGCATTTCATATTTAAAAACAGCAAATGCTATAGGCTTCTTTTTTTAAAGACAAACTGACAGATATTTAAATTAATGTGCATTTCCCTAGCTACCTAATTTTTTGGCCAGAAGAACAGTGAGTAACTTGGTAATACATTCCCAATCTTTCTCTTGACACTTATATCACCAAGGATATTAATAATATAAATAAAAATGTGACTCTAATGATATATACTGATTCCCCTACGATTATTCCATAATTTAAACTCTCTTATCTATAACTATGTAATAAAGGAGTCTTTCTAATGATAAAACATTGGACACTGGAATTCTAGAATAAACTATGTTGGTTACTGAAAAAGTAAATACTAAAAAGACTATGAATGACTTAAGATTTAGATCATAGAAACTTTCTGTGAGAATAAGAAAACTTTCTAAGTTACTTTTTTATTCTCTTCATCTTTATAATGATAACAATTTCCAGATAATAAGAATGGGGGAGGGCAGTAGAGATTTGGCTTAGTGGCAGAGCACCTGTCTATCATGTATAAGATCCTGAGTTCAAGCCCAGGTCCACAAATTCTATCTGTGTCTGTCTGTCTGTCTGTCTGCCTGTCTAATAGACAGATAATATGGAGCTTCAAGATACTTCATTTGATCAAATCTTTTATTTTCATGATGTCAACTCATAGCTTTTCATCTAATTTATCTGGAAGAGTTTTTCAACTACACTGGAGTGGAACTTTTCATTAGTGACCCCAAATCAGGAACTTTTAACATTTATACATAATAATTTCTAAAACTGAGTTTGGTATTATTTAAAAGAAGTGTTTTCTTTTTCTAAATTTAGCTAACATTTTTTTCAGCTTTTAAAAGGAACTGGATCTACTGTAAACAGATGTTAAAAAGCACAGAAGAAACAGACTTTTAGTTCTATATAGATTCAACATGTCCTTATAAAACAATCTCAAAAGACACAAAAGAAATCAGTTAGTCAATTTCTACATGTGGATTTAAAGTGAAATATTTCTTTAAAATGTTTTGTATTTCATTATCTGCTACAATTTTTTTTATTTAACTGAATTTAAGACTCTAAATTCTAGAAGAATAGTCAGAGCCACTTCAGAATTCAGTACACATGAAGTGAACCACACCTTATCAATTCAATTACTAAAAAGGTTGCTAATTCACAGTTAAATCCACAAAAACTGTTAGAAAATGTCTGGCCACACGTGAACAGTGAGCAGGGCCAATGTCTCTTTGTCATGTTTAAAGTTTTCCTGCCCTCAGCCTGGAAGGCTTCATACTGCACTATTCAGTTTAAGAAAAACTGGTACAGCAGGTTAATGGTACATAGGTTAATGCATCTAAGAAAAACACATGAGATGATATAGAGTACCAATACTTTCCTTAAACCACAGCCTTCCACTTTGTTATTCTCTTTGTGAAACCTGAAAGAACTTCATGAGTTTTTTAAGGAAAAAAAATGTTCCAATGGACTTTCCCATTTTTAAAAGACAAGAAGTATTGTGAGGCAAGAAACCTCTGTAGGGCAGCTAAAACTTCAAAATATATATATAATTTATTCCTTTTTCTAAAGCAAACACAATCTGTAATCCCAACTTGAAAAAAAAAAGAACTATAGTTGGGCAAGCTAATATTATGGAACACATTCATACTAATTTATTACTAACCAAGACTTTTTTATTAATCTGTCAATCGTCTACTCTAATTCAAAGTAAAAATTTTAATCAATTTTATAGTTACAAAGTGTATGATTTGAGAGCTGAGTTTATTTGCATAAAATTTTATTCAAAAATTTCCATTAATTGCCATGAATTTAAAATTAGTATGAAGCCACATAAATTTTTAATTTCTATATATTTCTTTTTTTTGAGACAGGGTCTCCCTTTGTAGCCCTGGTTGACCTGGAACTCACCACGAAGACCAGGCTGGCCTGGAACTCAAAGAGACTCGCCCAAGTCTGTGAATGTTGGAATTAAAGGTGCGCCACCATGCCTGGCCTTATTTTTAAATGTAGGAAAAGGTTATAGTAGCATGCTACAAACAGAAAAGAGACTTGTGAATTTGAGTCCTTTTTCAGATCATATAAAATTATTTCCTGTGCGACAAATCTTTAAAAATATTTGTTAAAGAAAAATTCAAATATAATTTTCCATCCATAGCTTAGTATTTAACCTTTTTATGTATACTCAACAAAATGATTTTGAATTGGTTTCTATATTTGAAGATGAGATTCATTTTAGGAGGGAGCCCTTACAAATGTACCAAAATTTAAGAATAATTAACATCAAAAAGTATTGAAAACTTTTCAAGTTAAAGGTATGTTCTTTAAGCTCTCCTTAAACATACCCTCAAATCATACTCTTTTAGATATGAACTTTGCCAGTACTGTTCATGTTGGCCAGATAATACCCTAGTTTCTTTAATAAAGTAAAATGAAGTGCATACCAGCAGCGACTACAGCTGGAGGAGGCGAGCCTGCCTCACCACCGCTTGTCTGACTCATTGACACTACAGATGTTTCTCTAGGTGGAGGTAACTGTAACTCCTTTGGGAGAAGATCATAGACAGATTCTGCGGAAGAGAAAAAAATTTTTGAAAGAAAGTTAGTCAGTAACGTCATTACATGTGCATGGAATAAGTGTCGTGTCGCTTCTCTTTCAAGAAGTATTCCCCCAAATTAACTCCATATCATGAAGGGTGCAAAGAGTTATTAGCAAATATTTGTTCTTTTAGTGTATAATCTTTGGGTTTTTTTGTTTTGTTTTGTCTTTTTTGAGACAGCCTCCTGTAGCCTCAGCTGGCCTGGAACTCACTATGTAGACCAGGCTGGCTGGCCTTGAATCCACAGAGATCCGCTTGCCTCTGCCACCCGAGTGCTGGGACTAGAAGCACCCAGCTTTTAGTGCATAATCTTATTGAAAACCGAAGAATAAATTTTCCACTGGTTCTGATTTTTTTTTGCTTCAGTTTGGGATTTATTCTTTATTTGTTCAAGATCATCTCCAGAAAAAAGTGTTACATTTTAAAACTAGACAGAAGAAATGTCATAATCCAAAAAACATATAGGTTTATGAGCACAAATACATAAATTTATAATGGAAAGTCAGCTTTCTCTGATAGGCCAGGCAGGGTGGAGCCCACCTATAATATTCTAGCACTTGGGAGGCTGAGACAGGAGAACCTCAGGTTTGAGGCCACATTGAGTCATAAAGTGCATTCCAGTCTAGCCTGATTTATACAGGAAGACACTATCTCCAAAAATAAAAACTAAACAAACAAACAAAAGTGCACCCATATCCCCAATATGAGGGAATTGAGCCCAGGGCCTCAGGAATGTCAAGCAAGCACCTTAGCAAATGAGATATACCCCTAAGTCCCCTGCTAAGATGTCTTTTACAAAAGTAAAACCACTCTGGGGGAATGTATGGAATGACTAAAGCCTCTTTTCAGGGTGATAAAAATATTCTCAAATTAGATTATGGTGATGACTAAATAGCTTTGTAAATACACTAACTGAATTGCTATCCTGTAAGTCAGTAAGTTTTATAGCACATAAATTATATATCAATCAAATTTTGTTTTTGTTTTTGTTTTTTTAAGAAAAGGAGCCAGGCATGGTGGGTCATGCCTATAATCCCAACACTCTGGGAGGCTGGGGAAGGGACATGATGATGGTAACAACAATGATACACACACACACACACACACACACACACACACACACACACAC